AACTATGTGCTTAACTATCCAGAACTTTCTGTTTTTCTAAAAGAAACATGCAGAGAAAGTGATTTGTTGGCAGAGGTTTGGGTGAAGTTTATAGGGGTGAAAATCAGATCTGCACAACTTACCTCTACCTACCTTTCAACATTCCCCCATATATTTTTACCATTTCCAGACACATAACCCAAGTTCCATTCACACTGGTCCCTAAATTTACCCTTCATTTTTTTATAGCATTTATACCCTTAGTTTAGCATATTCCCTCTGCCTTTCCCTCATCTCAAATTTGTATCTCTCAAAACTCTTTGTATCCTTAAAGAATACTTAAGCCCCATTCTGCTATTATGCCATGAAGCCTTTCCTGATTCTAATGAAATAAAATTGAAACGCTCTTCTTCCATTATTCATTCACTGTTTTATTTTCCAATCTCTCCTTTGGAACAGTGATTTTGACATAAAGGTCTGCCAAAGAAAGCATTCAACAAATGTTGAATAAATGTAATGGAGCTTAACTAAACACTGTTTTAGAATGTTCAGCTTCACATCAATGTGAAAGAATGACAGACATATGAACAGCAACTACAAATCATGATAATTGTTGATGGCAAACTTTCACAAAATAAAAGTATATTTTATTTATGTCATCTGAATGCCATAGTGCACAAAATTATGGAGTCCTTGACCTGGAGTACCACCTTCCTCAACAGGCTCAAACATGTGTAATGAAAAAATTAAAGCAGCACTGTGAGCTCTAAAATACACTCCTGCATAATACCCTCGTGCCTGCTCCTCTATCCATAGCTTTTTATTTCAAAGCAAAACAAACAAGGAAAAGAAAAATGGCCAATCCAGTTATAGGTAGAACCATGTCTACAGGTCAGAATAAGAAAAAGTTATTTATTTACCTACAATAAACATGAATGTCTAAGTAGATACAACAGTGATTAGTATTACCTAGGATTAGCTTTATTTTATATTTCTTTGCTAGACTATTTTCAGAAGACCTAATAACTGAATTTTATCATAGGGAGTCATTTACATGTTTTTAAAATTTAGGACAATAGGAACATATAATGTGAACAACTTCTCAGGATGTGAATAATCCCTTAAAGGCAAAGATTCTATTGTATTAATATTTGTAATCCTTTAGCCAAGCATAGTGCCTAGTACATGATAGTTGCTCCTTAAATGCTCTCGAATAGATATCCCCAACTTTTAAGAAGACACCGATTATTTACACTAAAAACACTAAAGGAAATCATCGCCAGTAGACCTGCCTTAAGGAGTCTTAAATATGGAAACAAAAGGTCAATACTCACAATTATAGAAATACATGAAAGTATAAAACTCACAGGACTTATAAAACAATCATGCAAACAAGAAAGATAAAGGACTCAAACGGCAACACAACAGAATTCCACCAAACCACAAAGACAGAGAAAAAGAAACAATAAATTTATAAAACAACTAGAAAGCAATAAGATGACAGACAAAAAACCTCACATATCAATATTAACCCTAAATGTAGTGGATTAAATGCTCCACTTAAAAGATACAAACTAGCAGAATGAATTAAGAAAACATGATCTGGCCAAGTATAGTGGCTCATGCCTACAACCCCAGCACTTTGGGAGGCCCAAGTGGGAGGACCACTTGAGGACAGGAGTTTGAGACCAACCTGGGCAAAATAGTGAGACTTCATCTTTACAAAAAGTAAGAAAAATAAGCCAGGTGTGGTGGTGCATAGTCCCAGCTACTCATGAGGCTGAGGTGGGAGGATCACTTGAGCCCAGGAGTTTGAAGGTTCAGTGAGGTATGTTCCCACCATTGCACTCCAGCCTGGACAATAGAGTGAGACTCTGTTTAAAAAAAAAAACAAAAAAAAAAAAACATGATTCAACTATATACTACATATAAGAAATTCACCTTACCTGTAAAGACACATATAGACTGAAAGTAAAGGAGTAGAAAGAGATATTCCACATAAACAAAAACCAAAAGTGAGCACAAGTAGTTATATTTACATCATATAAAACACACTCGAAATAAAAAACAGTTAAAAAAAAAAGGACAAAGAAGAACATTATATGATGATAAGGGTTCAATTCAACAAGAGGATATAATAATTCTAAACATATATACACCAATCACCAGAGCAGCCAGATTCATAAAACAAATATGGCTAGACCCAAAGAAAGAGATAGAAATATAATAATAGTGGGGATTTCAACATGCCACCCACAGCATTAGACAGATCATCAAGATAGAAAATTATCAAAGAAACACTGAACTGAAATTGGACTTTAGACAAAGTAGACCTAACAATTACAGAACATTCTACCCCAAAACCACAGAACATAGATTCTTCTCATTAGCACATGGAACATTCTCCAAGATAGACCATATGTTAGGCCACAAAACAAGTCTCAACAAATTTTAAAAAACTGAAATCATATCAAGCATCTTCTCAGACCACAGTGGAATAACACTAGAAGTCAATACCAAGAGGAACTTCAGAAACTACATAAATGTATAAAAGTCGTTGAATGATTATTGAAATTAAGATGGAAATTAAAATAATTTTGAAATAAATGAAAATAGAAACACAACATACCCAAATCTGTGGCACACAGCAAATACAGTGCTAAGATGAAAGTTTATAGTATTGAATAACTACATTGAAAAAATAGAAAGATCACAAATTAACAACCTAACATCACACCTCAAGAAACCAAAAAAACAAATAAAAACCAAACTCAAAGCCAGAAGAAAAAAAGAAATAAAACAGATCAGAGGTGAACTAAAAGAAAGAGAAGAGACCAAAAGGAAATTACACAGAATCAATAAAATGAAAAGTGGCTCTGCAAAAAAATAAACAAAATTAATAAAACACTAGCTAGACTAAGACAAGAGAAGTTACAAATAAACAAAATCAGAAATTAAAAAGGAGATATTACAACTGCTATCACAGAAATACAAAAGATTATCAGAGGCTATTATGAACAACTATACACTCACAAGCTAGAAAACCTAGAGGAAATGGATGAATTCTTAAAAACTTACAACATCACAAAATTAATCCAAGAAGACATAGAAATCCTGAACAGACCATTAACAAGCAGTAAGATTGAATCAGTAACAAAAAGTCCCCCAACAACAAAAAAAGCCCAGGTCCAGGTAGATTCAATGTTGAGTTCTAGTAGATATACAAAGAAGAACTAACACCAATACTCCCAAAAATGTTCCAAAAAACATCAAGGAGGGAATTTTCCCTAACTCATTCTATGAGGCCACTATCACTGTGATAACAAACCCAGACAAGGACACAACATAAAAGAAAACTACAGACCAATATATCTGATGAACAGATACAAAAATCTTCAACAAACTATTAGCAAACTGAATCCAATAGCATATCAAAAGGTAATATATTATGATCAAGTGGGTTTTATACTAAGCATGCAAGGTTCAACATACGCAAATCAATAAATCTGATAAACACACAAAAAAAATAGACAAAAGGGACTTAACTAAAAAGCTTCTGCATAGCAAAAGAAATAATCATAAGAGTGAATAGACAACCTGGAGAAAAGGAGAAAATATTTGCAAATTATGCATCTGACAGGAGACTAATATCCAGAATTCACAAGGAACTCAGATAACTCAATAACAATAAAAACCCCAAATAATACCATTAAACAGTGGACAAAGGACATGAAAAGACATTTTTAAAGATAAAACATACAAATGACCAATAGGTATATGAAAAAATGTTCAACATTACTAATCACCAGATAAATGCAAATTAAAACCACAATGAGGTATCATCTTACATAAATCAGAATGGCTGTAATTAAAAAGACAAAAATAATAGATGTTGACAAGAATGTAGAGAAAAGGGAATGCTTATACATTGTTGGTGGGAATGTAAATTAGTACAACCTATATGGAAAACAGTATGGAGATTTCCCAAAGAACGAAAATTAGAACTGCCATTTGATCCAGTGATCCCACTACTGTGTATCTACCTAAAGATAAAAAAAATCATTACATCAAAAAGCTACCTGGCCGGGCGCTGTGGCTCACGCCTGTAATCCTAGCTCTTGGGAGGCCGAGGCGGGCGGATTGCTCGAGGTCAGGAGTTCGAAACCAGCCTGAGCAAGAGCGAGACCCCGTCTCTACTATAAATAGAAAGAAATTAATTGGCCAACTAATATATATAGAAAAACTTAGCCGGGCATGGTGGCGCATGCCTGTAGTCCCAGCTACTCGGGAGGCTGAGGCAGCAGGATTGCTTGAGCCCAGGAGTTTGAGGTTGCTGTGAGCTAGGCTGACGCCACGGCACTCACTCTAGCCTGGACAACAAAGCGAGACTCTGTCTCAAAAAAAAAAAAAAAAAAAAAGCTACCTGCACTTGTATGTTTATCACAGCACTATTTACAATTGCAAAGATGTGGAATCAACCTAAGTATCCATCAGTGAATGACTGGATAAAGACAATGTGGTTTGTATACACAAAGAAATATTATTCAGCTATAAAAAAATCAAATCTTGCCTTTCAACAACACGGATGGAACTGAAGGTCATTAAGTGGAAAAGTAATATATAGAAAGACAAATACCACATGTTTTCACTTATAAGTGGAAGTTAAATCATGTGTACACTTGAGCATAGAGTGTGGAATGATACACAATGGAGACTCGAAAGGGTGGAAGATGGGAAGGGGGTGGATGATGAAAAATTAATTAATAGGTACAATGTATGTTATTGATACTCCAAAAAGCCCTTGATTTCACCACTCCACAATATATCTATGTAACAAAATTACACTTGTATCCCCATAAATTTATACAAAAAAGACCCTACATATTCTTACATAGAAAAAAAGTCTTCTAATTAAAATAAAGCTAATTCCTCACCATTTTAATTAAGAAAGCATATATACTTGGAAATGCATGCATTTATTATTCTGATATTAATATCAAAAGGTATTGAAATATATTTACCCATTATATAATTCAGACACACCAGCAAATGGCTGATTTTCACAGTTGGCATAAATAAATACAAAACTCAGCAAAAATGCAACTCCAGATGAGAACAACGCAAACTTCATTGTATTTTTACATGTCATTTTGAATTTTGAAACAAGGAAACCACCTAAAATCTGACCAAGAGCAGCTCCAGGAATTAAAACAGCCCCTAATGAGAAAGAAGACACAGACAGTGAAAAAACACACACATACATTCAGTAATTCATAATAACACTTGGCAAACATCAAAAACAAGCACCAGTATGGTTTTAACATATAAAAGTATTCCTCTGATATAGAATTACATGCATAAATGACTTAATTCCATTAAATGAAGAATTATTAAAATTAACATAGTGAACGTTAAGATTAATATATATTCTCTTTAGCCTTATATATGCTTTGTCTCTCTCAAGTTCATACAATATGTCTGAAAATCAGAAACTTTTACCAATCAGTATTAAATTTAAATTTCAAGGAGTGGTATATCACGAATTGTATATTATCCAATAAAAATTTAATGTAGTAAAGTAAAACTATTAGATTAAATTAGAAAAAAGAAAATGCTTTACCTCCAAGGGTAGCTGCAAAACTGGATGACAATCCAAATTGATTTTCTATAAATTTAGGTAAAAATGTAGCAAATCCAGTAGTAACTAAAGCTTCTGAAGAAGTTGATAAAACTAAACATATAAACACAGTATTCTTCACCAAATTCTGAAGAAAAAAAGTACAGTTCAACAAATGAATAACTATGATTGTACAGCACTAGAAAGTTACCATGATGGAAGAGCAAAATTTTTAATAAACACAATATAATCATCTGTAAAATTTTAGCATTTTCTCCAGCACAAAAATATAACTTTGAATAATTAGTAGATTTATATATATAATGATAAAAAAAATTGTATATATGGAACACCTATACAGATGATGGATTCATCAATATAGTACTTATGACTTTATCACATTCAAGGGACCAGGAAAAGAAAGTAAAAGCCTGCTTGGACAGGTTCCCTTCCCAAGTCTTACTGTAGATACCCACACTACAAATTTACTCCTTATTTGATTTTTTCATTGTTTTGAATTCCTATGTCCAGTAAACAAAGAACTTAAGATTGTGAGCACAAATAAGAATGTTCTCTAAGTACCAAACTCAAAGCATTGTTCCATAATTAAAAGACTAGTAATTACGAACCTTAGATACATATAGGGTTAAGCAACTTTAATAGGTGTCTGTATTGCTAAACCTCTCAGAATCTTATCTATCTATCTGTAGAGATTTTTTTTCAATACATGTAAACACAAAAATGAAAACCAAATTATAGTTCTGGAATATTAAATGCAAAAAAATGCTTCAAAAACTAAGCAAAACACACACAGAGAGGAGTTACTAAGGGTCAAGATAAGAGATGCAGAAGTCAGAGCCAGATAACTTACAACATAAGGATAATAGAAGTGACAAAAGGAGAAAAGTACCTGGATGAAAACATGCAATAATTTAAAATAGTAGTAATAGTAGTAGTAGTATTAGTAGTAGAAGAAGAAGAAAAAAAAAAAAACCTAAGTCTTTAGATGCAAAAGATAATAGTCTAGGAAGACTTAATGTAAAAAGACATATGCATTTACCAAGCAAATTCCTAAAATCAAGGATAAATGAAAAATTTACAAACTTATAGAAAGAATAAGTCATAATCATGCTAACACAAAACTTCTCAAATGCAACACATTTAAATAGAAAAGAAAAAACAATATCCACAGACTGCCGGAATTATAGGGGAATTATCCAAAAGTATTGATCCAGATGGAAATATCATTCAGACATTCAAGGATATTTGGGTGGTATCCCAACCAAAGAAAACAGGCAATAAAATCCTGGCTCTATAGAGATCTCAGTCAGAATAGAGATCCTATAGAGATCTCAGTCAGAATGAAGATCTGTAAGTAAGAGCTATAAGGATAAAAAAAAAAAAAGCAATGTTGAGCAATGCATCTTGATGGTAATATAAATTGGAATTTATAAAATAAATGGAAATATATGAAATAGAACAGACCTACTATAAAAGAAAATAATAGTAGTTGGAATTAAAACTTATGAACAATCTCAGCGAAACACAAGAATGTTCATGTATTGGTAGCAGAGTTGAATGACGGGCTGAGTGGACAAGTGAAAATATTTTAAGGCTTTCATTTGACAAGAAGGAAAAAAAGTAATGAAAAGCAAATAATAGCACATCTTGAAAAGGTAAAATTATAAACTCCCCTATGAATAAAGCTTTTATGATGCTCAATAGAAAGACTGTTTTGTGCTAAGTACAACCGAATAGATTCTAACACTTGTTTCTTAGCTTCAAAACAAGTTACCACCAACCACCACCTTTTTCACATGGGAGAAATATCAGTTTGGCATTCTCAAACATATATTAACAATTCAATGATAATTGATGAATCCATTACATACGGGAAATGTTATGGAATAATAGCTATAGTGCTAATGAAAAACCACTGAATATTGATATTGCTAAGAAGTTAACCCATCTTCTTTCAACCATTCTTCTCTGGAATAATTTTCGTTTGCTCAAAGGATAATAAAACTAAATCTGAAGAATAGTTTATAAGAGCTAGAATTGTAGCAAACAAGAATGTATTATGAAAAGATTTTTATGTGTGTGTGTGTATATATATATATATATGTCTGTGTTTGTGTGCATGTATTCATACAAATGGGGTTATTTATGCATGTATGCAATAAATACACATCTACATATATGTACCTATGACTTGTGTGTGTGTGTGTGTGTGTGTGTGTGTGTGTGTGTGTGTGTGTCAGAGACAGAGAAAGACAAAATACTTTTATTTTACCTTCAGTGCAGCTGGAAAATCTTTAATACTTTTTCCAAAATTCTCATCTGTATGTTGCAAGGAAATACTCTTATTCTGATGAGCCTGGGAAGTTTTTCCAGCTTGAATTTTTGCTGTACCTAAAAAAGTAGTAAATGCACTTGCTTTGTCACTTCCTTCTTTATTAAAAAAAAAAAAATGCTTACTTTTTAATTGACACACATTTCCACAAGTATATAAATTCCAGAACATAAGAGCCCAGTTCCTTTGTCAACAAAATTGTGCAAATATCTAGGTAATCAGGCTGTCCTAAGAGCTAGTATTCATTACCACATAGGACGTTCCAACCAGTCTAAACATTAAAATGAGATAATTTTACTCTAATCTTATATCTAAGCTCTTCATTTAAAATCTCTTTAAAAAAAATTTTTTTTTTTGGTACAGAGCCTTAATCTTACTCTGTTGCCTGGGTTAGAGTGCCATGGTATCAGCCTAGCTCACAGCAACCTCAAACTCCTGGGTTCAAGCGATCCTACTGCTCAACCTCCCAAGTAGCTGGGACTACAGGTATGTGCCACCATGTGTGGCTAATAAAATCTCTTAAAATTTTTTATTCCTTTCAAATGGTTTCCTTTTTTATCCTTTGTAGATTAAAGTACATTCGTGACTTTTTTCTTTTACTCGTTTTAGTTCTAATATGCTTAGCAGATGATATATTCACCATCTAGTACCATGTTCCTTTGATTTTTAATAATGGTACTATGAATAAATCTGAGAAAACAGTCAATATGTGGAATTATAAATTGAATGAAGAATCAATCAGAAAGAAATGGAGTCTACTTACTTCTAGTCTGCCCACTTTCTTTTGCCAATTTCCAAAAGTTAATCATCTATCTTGTTGCAAATGACAATAGAAACAAGTAAATGCCTTCAACCTAGAGAAAAATACTTCTACAGGTATATATTTTAACTACACAATTATACAGAAGCAAGATTGCATAGAGAAAAATGGGTATTTTTTTCTATTAACCTTTTCTTTTTGGACAAAGTGTCTAGTATTATAATACAGTAAAAAATGAGTATACTACAGCATGACTTTGGTGATAATTAAAAACTATAAGCTGTACTTCCAACTATAAATAATTAAAATGAATAACTTAAGGCAGATTGAAATTAGTGACTAATGAATACAAACTAACAGTTTAAAAGATATTGTGGGCCAGGCACAGTGGCTCACACCTATAATCCCAGTGCTTTGGGAGGTCAAGGCAGGAGGATAGCTTGTGGCCCGAAGTCCAAGACCAGCCTGGGCAACATAGCAAAACCCATCTCCACAAAATTTTTTTTTTAAAGTTTAGCCAGGCATAATAGCATGTGCCTGTAAGCCCTAGCTACTCAGGAGGCTGAAGCAGGATGCTTACTTGAGCCCAGGAGTTCGAGGTTGCAGTGAGCTATGATCACATCACTGCACTCCACCCCAGGTGACAGAGCAAGACCCTGTCTCTAAAAAAAGAGATATTGCACCTTGCATCCACATAAAGCAGGATTCCAGATAAAACCTAAGAAATAAATCGAACAAATAGTAAGGAGGTGAATATGCTGCACACAGCTTTATTGATTATTAATTGGAAATATAAAAAATCCATGAATATTAAGATTGCTACTCAATATTTCCTAAAATGAAGACAGATATTCAAAAGTTTGCATAAGCAAACAGTTGAGATTCTATAAAACAAACAGGGTGAATCTATGGTTCTTATTAATTATACAGAAAATGACACTTGGCTTAGAATTAGAATAAAACTCTCCTGTTTTAAAGAAAACACGTTTACCTGGTAAATGTTTTGGAAAGCAAGAAAAAGGTATTATCAAAGACCAAGCAAAGATCCAGCATACAAGAAATCCAATCCACCAAGCTCCCAACCATCGTGGATCATCCTCAGTGACATCGGGGCTAAATTATATAAAAACAAGAGGTGAAAGTCAACTCTACCTTGTTAACTAAAAACTCAGTTATGGCAATCATATACTTTATACTTCAAGTGCATATAGTACAATATTATTATAAAATATCCAAAATTTTAATAGAGCCATTGTGATGAATCAGAAAATAGGTATGCAGGTATAAATGAGAGTTATAATAATGGTTACAAAGTATTTTAAAATGACAAATATGACATAAAAGTTTAAAATATTTCATAGCAAATATTTTAATAAGTATGATAAATATTTGAAAAGATACACAGAATTTCTGAACACTCTTGAACTTTGGCTAAGTTTTCTCCACTATTGTATTAAATTAAATACAGAGATCACAGAAAATCACTGATCTATGTTAAAAGCTCATACACTGTGCTTCAATTATGGCATTCCTTTCAATGTAAAATTATTCTTAATGTCATTTATTTATTAACAGTTTTTTATCACGGTTCTCATATTTTAATATCAATAGGCCCTTTCAGAAAATACACCACTCCTACAATTCATGCAATTTTCCACTGAAATTAAAATGTCCTTTCTTAAAACTCTGACTCTCTGCTTCAAGAGCTTCTTGTGCACAACTTTTTATAATCTCTAAAAGATTAACCTAGGACTAAAAAGGCTCAGAGAACCAATCACATACCCATGACCACATTTTCGTATTCATGGTCGTACAAAGGATTGTGCAGTTATATTCCCAGTGGCAAAATGAGAAAACATGGCCTCACCAAAGGCCACTAAATTCTCTATTCAGGAAAAACAAAAGGTAACTCAGTAGTTAAGAGTGGGGATTTTGGAGTCAAAAATATATACTTCACGTCTTGGCCAAAAGATAGCTTATGAAATAAGTGAACACACAAAAAATCATTTGTATGGAACACAGTATAGGATAAATAAATATTACCTATTATTACCCTTCATTGTTGGATACAGTGGCATACTTGGATCTCTCTGACATTATCAGTGCTACTATAGAACTTATTCTGAGAATCACAGAGTCTTGAGACCTTTCAGGCTATCTGCCCCCAAATACAACTATGGAAAACATAACTTATTTGTATTGAATTCTTGTTTTTGAAAATGCAAGGTGTCCTACATATGTATTTTTAAAACTGTCATCAACTGACTCTATTGAAAATCTTCATTTATGAATAAATACATTATTACTCTAAGATGGTATGGCATTGATGCATGGAGCAAAGCAGCCCAAATAAGGCATTTTATAAGCATTATGTGTATTCAGTTTTGTTTCCTGAAAAATCCCTCATATTGTACTGAAGAAGTACTGCAAAAATATTCTGTCTATGATGTTAGCATTATTAAAATAAAATAAATTTAAATAAAAGAAAAATAAATACTGTCTTGCCTTGGTCCCATAGCGACATCAATGTACATGGTTAGCAGTTGTCCTCCCAACACATAGCCAATAGCAGGACCTAAGATTGACATAGCATAGCCAATTCCTAGAGAAGAACAAAGTCATTGAATATAATCATGTATACAGTTTTGCTTTGCATGGCTAACAATAGTGAAGAAGAACAAATGTTTTACCATAGAAAAATCTAAATGAATAGACATCAAAATCACACATATTTTTACTAAAAATATGCCATTTGAATGGTATCATTTGGTCAATGGTCAAGGCAAAGAAACTAAAATATATGACTCAATGTAAAAGCTGTTTGACTATAATGATGATAATAATAAAATCAAAAATAATAAATGTATGGAAAGTTATGTTAACTGGTGGCAGAGGTAGTATTAATACATTCATGGTATCCTTTATTCATAGTGATAATATATCATGGAAGAAAACAATGTAAAACAAGAAGCCTCTTCCACTCTGTACAACTAGGAGAGCATTCTTTATTTCACGCTACAGAAACTGACTTCAAAACCTGGATCTTCCGAGAAGTCTATTTCTTAGATATAAGCAATTAGTTTAAACCTCTTGCTCTTCGTGATTCTTCTCATTTTGACTTGCCTCAGAATTAAACTGAGCTTATTTCTGTCAGAAATTCAAAACTTTGCCATATATACCTTTTAATTTTTACAGAATGAAATTTATTTATTTTGACCAATCATTGTCTTTTTATTGTTTTTATTGTTTTTCCTTTAAGCTTCCAAGTATTTCGGGATGTCACCTGAATGTAATTTCACCATTTTTTTTTTCATTTTTAGTTGACACATAATAATTGTACATATTAATACATCTATATAATGTGTAATGATCAAATCAGAGTGATTAGGATACCCATCACCTCAAATATTTACCATTTGTATGTAATGAAACATTTAAAATCCTCTCCTCTAGTGTTTTGAACATATCCTATAAATAACTGCTAACTATATTCACCCTGCAGTGATACAGAACACTAGAACTTATTCTTCCTAATGTAATTTTGTATTCATTAACAAAACCCTCCCCATGCTTTTCTCCCCTCTACCTTTCCCAATGTTTAATAACCATAATTCTACTCTATTTCTATGCACTGAATTTTTTTTAGCTCCCACATATGAGTAAGAACATGTGGTATTTATCTTTGTGTGCCTGATATTTCACTTAACATAATGTTCTCCAGGCTCATCCATGTTGCTATGAAGGATAAAATTTCATTTTTATAACTGCATAGTATTCCACTGTGTATATATGCCACGTTTTCTTTATCCATTCATCTGTTGATGAAGATTTAGGTTGATTCCACATCTTGGCTATTGTGAATAGTGCTGCAATAAATGTAAAAGTGCAGATATCTTTTCCATTTACTGATTTCTTTTCCTTTAGATAAATACCAAGTAGTGGGATTCCAGGATTGTATGGTAATTCTACTTTCAATTGTTGAGAAACCTCCATACTATTTTCCATAATTGCTGTACTATTTTACATTCCCCCCAGCAGTGCATAAAAGTTCCCTTTTGTATATGTACTTGGCAGCATTTTTTTTTTCTTTTTCCATAGTCATTCTAACTCAGGTACAATAATATCTCATGTGGTTTGGAATTGCATTTCTCTGATGCTTACTGAAGTAGAACTTTTTTTTATATTTTCATTGGCCATTTGTATGTCTTGTTTTAAGAAATGTCTATACAGATCTTTTGCCCATTTTTTAATCAAATTTTTTCTTTTGTTCAGTTGTTTGAATTCCTCGTATATTCTGGATATTCATCCCTTCTCAAATGAATAATTTGTAAATATTATCTCCCATTCTATGGGCTGTTTTTTCACTCTTGATTATTTCCTTAATTGTACAGAAGCTTTTTAGTTTGATATAGTCCCATTTGTCTATTTTTGCAAAACCTCAGCTCCAACCAATGTCCGGAAGCATTTCCCCTATGTTTTGTTATAGTTATAGTTCTATAGTTTCATGTCTTAAATTTAAGTCTTCAATCCATTTTTAGTTGTTTTTGTATATGATGAGATAGGAGTCTAATTTAATTCTTCTGCATATATGGGTGTTGAGTTTTCCCAGCACCACATATTGATGAAACTGCCCATTTCCCAGTTACGCTCTTTGCACCTTTATCAAAAGTTAGTTGTCTGTAAATACATGGATTTAATTCTGTGTTTTGTATTTTGTTTCATTGGTCTATGTCTGTTTTGATACCAACACCATGCTGTTTCGATTAAATTTTGAGGTCTGGTAGTATGATGCCTACAGCTTTGTTCTTTTTGTTCAATATTGTTTTGGCTATACAGCTTTCTATTTTATGATGCAGCCATTTATTGCTTTAAACTTCTCTATTAGTGCTGCTTTTGCTGTAATCAATAGGTTTAGGTATGTTGTGTTTCCATTTTCATTTGTTTCAGTAAATTTTTTAATTTGCTTCTTAACTTCTTCATCTATCCATTGGTCACTTGGGAGCATGTTGTTTAATTTCCATGTATTTGTATAGTTTCCAAAGTTTCTCTTGTTACTGATTTCTAGTTTTATTCCATTGTGGTATGAAAAGACACTTGATATGATTTCAACTTTTTAAAATTTGTTGAGATTTGTTTTGTGGCTTAATATATATCCCAGATAATGTTCCATGTACTGAAAAGAAGAACATTTATTCTGCAGCTACTGGATGAAATGTGATGTTCTGTTAGGTTCATTTATTCTCTACTACAGTTTAAGTCTGATATTTCTTTGTTGATTTTCTGTCTAGATCATTTTTCCAGTGCTGAAAGTGGGATGTTGATGGCCCCAACTACGACTGAATTGGGATCTCTCTTTATAGCCCTAATTATGATTTGCTTTATATATCTGGGTACATATAGATGTTGAGTGCATATATGATTATAATTGTTCTATCATTTTGATGAACCGATCTCTTTGTCATATAATGACCTTTGTCTCTTTTTTATATTTTTTGACTTAAAGTCTATTTTGTCTGATTTAAGTCTAGGTACTTCTGCCTGCTACTGGTTTCCATTCTTGTGGAATATCTTTTTCCATCCCTCCACTTTAAATCTACGTGTGACTTTCTTGAAGGTAGTATATTCTCATACCTTTGAGGATTTTGTTTGTTTTGTTTCATTTTTAATCCATTCAGCCAGTCTATATCTTTTACTTGGGGAATTTAAACCATTTACATTCAAGGTTGTTATCATTGGTAGGTGAGAACTTACTACTGTCATTTCGTTAATTGTTTTATGATTATTTTGTTTATCCTTTCTTACACTCATATTGTTTATATTTGCAGTTTGGTAGTTTTCTGCAGTGTTAATGTTAATTCCTCTCTCTTTCTCATTAAGTATCTGCTCTACCATTGAGTTTTGTACTTTCATGTATTTTCATGATGGTTGATACTGTCCTTCTGCTTCTAGATGTAAAACATCCTTAAGCATTTTGTGTAGAGCTGGCTTAGTGATGATTCATTCCCTCAGTTTGAGTAACTTGCTTGTCTGAGAAAGACTTTGTTCTTCATTTCTGAAGGATAGCTTTGCTGGGTATAGCATTCTGGGCTAACAGGTTTTTCTTTTAGCACTTTGAATACATTATCCTATGTTTTCCTTGGCCTGTAAGGTTTCTGCTGAGAAATCTGCTGTTAGTCTGATGGGGATTCCCTCATATGTGACTTGACACTCTTTTCTTGCTGTTCTTAGAATTCTTTGTATTTGACTTTTGACAGTTTGGCTATAATATGCCTTGGAGAGGACATTTTTGGGTTGAATCTATTTGGGGATCATGGAGCTTTCTACATCTGGATGTCTATTTCTCTCCCAAGACTTGGGAAATTTTCAGCTACTATTTCAATAAATATATTTTCTATGCCTTTTCCCATCTCTTCCCTTTCTGGAACTCTCAACTGTGAATATTTGTTTACTTAATAGTGTCCCATATATTACATATACTTTCTTTATTCTTTTCCCTTTTTTGTTTTTTGGGGGGTTTTTTGTTGTGCTTTTTTTGTTGTTGTTGTTTTTTTTTTTTTTGTCTGACAGCATTATTTCAAAAGATTGTTTGCAAGTTTAGAAATTCTTTCTTCTTCTTGATCTGGTCTATTGTTGAAGCTCTTAATTATATTTTTTATTTCATTCATTCAATTCTTCAGTTCAAGGATTTCTGTTTAATTCTTTTTTATGATATCTCTTTCTTGAAATTCTTATTCATATCATGAATTGTTTTCTTGATTTCCTTGTATTTTCTGTTTCTTTTATCTTGCTGAGTTTCTTTACAATCATTATTTTGAATTCTCTTTAAGTTATTTCATAGATTTTCTGTTCTTTGTAGTCTATTACCAGAGAATTATTGTGATTCTTTTGATGTGTTATGTTTCCTTGCTTTTTCATGTTTCTCATGTCACTACATTGATATCTGCACATCTGGAGTAACAGCCATTCTTCCATTTGTATTAAGAGGCTTTCATTGCGTATGACTTTTTCCTGTAGATGTATCGATAGTGTCAGTTGGGTATGGTGCTTTAGCTTTGGTTCTAGATGGCACTGTAGAGTAATCTCCATATGAATACTTCATTGTAATTAAAGCCAGCAGTATCTTTGAGTTCCTCAGGGGCTTGGGCTGAAGTTGTTTTTGGAGGCTGTATCACAGCATTGCTTGTAAGAGGGACACTATGTGGGCCAGTTCGCAGGCCCCTGGGGTGCATGCCTGAACACTGGTAGTGGTGGTGGGGGTTCCTGGGTGGGCCAGTCCTTGGGCTCCTAGGCAGTTTGTGAAGATGTACAGCATCCCTACTGCTATAGGAGGTAGTTTTGCTAGGTGTTAGCAGCAATAGGGCCCAAGTAGGGAGGTCCTCAGATTCCTGTGTATCACATGCAGGTGCCAGAGGTATTGGTGGCAGGCTCCATGCAAGCCAGCTCTGGCCGCGGGGTGGCATATGCAGACACCAGTGATAGTGTTGGTAGTGGATTCCCAATAGGTTGGTCCTCAGGCAGAGGCAGTGTTTGTAGATGCTGGCAGCAGTAGTGGCCAGTGCATTGCCAACAATGGTGTTGGCAGGCCTGGGTGGGCTGGTCCTTGGCATCCTGGGAGGTACACATGGGAAGCTAGTAGTGGTGGCAACAGGCCTCAAGTAGGCTGGTCCTCTGGCCTCTGGGAGACATACACAGGCACAAAACAGCTCTGTTGCTGGAGGAAGCATGGGTGCTGTCAGAGGCGGTAGGCCCATGCAAGCAACTCTCAGGTTCTGGGGAGTGTGCACTTTGGCTTTCCCTATGTCTATGGGGCAGCCTCTTTGATGTGCTCAACTGTCTGTTCCCTAGGATACAGGATGTTGCATGGTCATGTATGCCAGAGACATAGCTGCTCCTCTGAGTGTAGCTGGTGTTATGACACTACAACCTTGTGGGTAGATGTGGGGCATGTCAGCAGGATCCCAGGGATGTGGAAATTCAGGGGCTACTGTGGAAATCCCAGGGCAGAGTGTTGTCTGGTGGTGGGCTCCAATCTCAAAATGGTGCTATGCTGAAGTAAGCTTGGGTCTCAGAGGGTGGGAGTAACTCAGTGTGACTTCCCTCTCTGGAACAACGCAGTCATGTGGACTCCAGGCAGCTGCCTATACTAGGTTCAGGGCTTGTGAGGGCTGAGGTGCCCTGCGCCTGGGATTGCAGGCATCTGTCATAGGAATGTAGACTTTGGGGGATCTCCTGCTTATTTTTTGCCCTACAATGGGGAGTCCCTCTTGGCTCTAAGCCAATTAGGTGCTTTGCTTCCCTCTCTCTGTTACCACCTCAATTTTTCACATCTCAGAGGGTCTTTTTCACTTCCTTGCTGAATTCTCATGTACTTTCTTACATGCTCTACTCAGTATGTTTGGGTCCTTATTCATGGAGGTCCTTATTCATTATCTACTCACTGTTTGGGTCTTTATTCATGGAGAGGGGCAAGTGCTGGGCACCTCTAGTCAATCATCTTAATGACTCCTCCATAAAACAAAATTTATTTATACACCAATGTCTGGTGTATTACCACCTTCTAGATATTTTGTTAACTGCTAAGATTCTTATCTTCACATACAAAAGAATCGGAACCTAATTTATACCTGAAACTAAGCATATATCAGTGGTAGAAATGACTAATGCATTACTTCAAATCTCCAAATGAAAGCTCATGCAAGGTAATCTGAAAACAAGAATTTTTTTTATCTGTTGACTACCTTAATTTATATTTTAGCTATAATTTTAAATATAAAAAATTAATAGAAAAATTAAAGTATGTAATGTATAAATAATTAGGTGTGCACACATAAAGGATTCACCGCTCAAAAATTTATGGACAAAAATACATAATTAAAAATGCTGGAAATCAGTGACTCACAAATTATCTCTGTGACAGATTTTTTTTTATAATTCCCAACTGGGTTAGATTAATAATTTCATAAGACTATGCTATAAGTTTTATAGAAATATAAAATTGCTATAGAAGATTTTACATTAGCAATCTGCCCAAGTAGATTTAGTAGTCTTTATCAGGGCTGCACTGAACATACATCTATGGCTGTGGCAATGGATATTCTATGTTAGAATAATAGATTCATAAAGAGAAAACTCAAATGCAAATAAAATAGTCAGTAACTAGATGTAGGGCCATGCAAACTGTAATTAGCTCTACCATTTTAGGATCTGGAGAGGCATTTTAGAAAAACTCATGCTACCAGGAATTAGATCACAAAAGAAAAAAAAAATGAGTCATATATTTAAAAAAAGGTAATTTGGAATGAAAAACTCCATCGAGTTTCCAGACACTATCTTGTGGTTTCTTTTGTAGACTCTAGTCAAGTCCATGTAGGATGTAATAATGACACAGAAGAGCAGCGCTCAATCTCCACACCTTGTGTAAGTAACCCTGGGATTCAAGCAATCTAGACAGAACGCTGCTTGGATGGCTCTTCCCATCCAGGAAGGTTGGCCCGTACAGAGCAGGAAATTAAGCAGGAGGTCAACAAAAATCATTATGTTTTCCATTTACTGACTTAATACATTAGGAAATAATTAAAACAGATAAAAGTAATACTGCATTTATCTAATAGAAATATGGCATTACAGCTGAATCTTTAATAAGCCTGCTTTATGCTTTATTCTAAAATAAACAAATAATAAGGCAAAAGGATACTGAGACAGTTTAGAGCGTAAGCTTACCTATATAGAGAGAAGATTTGTGTGTGGGCACAGAATCATCAATAAAGGCTGTTCCTAGGGTGTAGAGAGGAGTTCCTCCTGTCCCCAGCAATAGTTGTCCCAAGATGAAAACATACAAGTAGTTAGAAAGTGAAGAGGTTGAAGAGGTACAACTAGTACTGTTCCTTGTTATTAAGCAAGTGTCTTTAGGAGAAAAAAAATAAAATAAAATTGTTAGTTTTACAGAAATTTAGTTAACAGCTCAAATATTTATCATGCAAATTATACTTGCTTAATATAACACTAATTATTTCTTCCAATTGTTTCATTTTGATTATATTTAAACTATTAAAAATATATATATTACTTGAAAATTTTTATAAAATATCATTTCAAAATTTAGAAAATACAGAATAAAACTGAGAAACATTAGGAATAGAAATTAACACATTTTCAGGTAAACTAATCTAAACACAATTGAAGCAAGAAGTTCTGGGGAAAGATGGCTTCAGATTAAGAAAGAAAACAAGTACAATAGGACCATCATATTGAACTTATAAATTAATACCTTAACCACATTTGAAAAATATACTTAGGCTATGGAACATTTTGACCAGAATATAGTGATCCCCCCCATATATATATATATATATATATATAATTATATATACTGTATATATATTTACTATAAAGCAGCAACACTGAAACTATATCTAGTTCTTTTTGATAGCTCAAACTATTTTATTAAGTTTCCTTTTTCGGAACAGTCTTTATGTCTATAGGATATTCTTTCAAGGATATTCTTATCAAGGAAAAGTGTTTTCCTTTAAGATTTGATCAAAATCTTTTTCTAAAAATCACATTCAAAATACAGAGTGGATATTTAAGTGAATTCATATTTCTTAAACTCAGCTGATAATATTAATGAGCTGAGATGATTGTTAAAAATATTTGCAGTCCTTTCCCTTTGAATTTGGTGTAATAATCAAGAACATGTATTTTAACAATGGCCTCGGCTAATTCTATTTTTATTTCTTTATATTAAGATCAAGATATATTATTTCCTAATGGATGAGATAAGTAAGGCTCCCAAAGCACCAATCCTGAGATTCTTTTAACTCATTTGACTGATTATATTTTTCACATCACTGAAAAGGAGAAATTAAGTTCATGGTCATCAAACTATAAGATGCAAGTCTATGTATAAAATATGTATTTTTACATTTCAAATTTAAAATGTACCCTTTAATATTGTATATATTCAGACAAAGACAATCAAACATAAGCATAATCAACTAGGACAGGAAAATATATATATTCAAAGGTAAAATTAAGGAAACTTTGCTAAAATACAGACTGATCTTTAATTTTAAAAAGACAAGGAGCATCCCAGGAAAATTTGATGAGGGACCTTCAACATGAAGATATTCCCTTGTAAAATTACTGGCTTAAAAGATAAAGAAAGACTTTTTTGAATAGCCAGGCCAAAAGATAAAATAAAGTCACTTATGCAGAGGGAAATAAAAAACAGAAATCTTGCATTTAGTCCTCTCTAAAGCAACATTAATCCCATAGAGGCAGTAAGGAAATGCCAAAAGAGTAATCAGTGAAAGATAGTGTGATCCACAAACTTTATGCTCAGGGAAACTCTCATTCAAATATAAAGACAAAGACAAATATTTAAACATACAATATTTTATGGCTCAGATTGGTCTCGAACTCCTGACCTCAAGTGATCTTCCTGCCTTGGCTTCCCACAGTGCTAGGAATACAGGCATGAGCCACCACGCCTGGCCAACATGCAATATTTTAAATCTCATGGAATAAGTCTTCCGTGAAAAAAACTACTATATGGTACATTTCAGCCTACAGAGATATTCTTCATTCAGACATACCATGTGGACCTGAAGATAATTAGAAACAAGTATAAAATAATTTATTAAACTGTATATAAATCTAGACATACTTATTCTGTGAATTCTGTAGTATTTTTAGTCGAGGAAAGCATTTGATCCTAGGATTTCAACTTATTATGGGAAATCAAATAATTTCTGACAAAATACAGTTGGCCCTCCCTGTCCACAAGTTTCATATCTGCAGATTCAACCAAGTACATATCAAAATATTAAAAAAAAAAATGGTAACACAACACTAAAAATAATATAAATTTTAAAATATAGTATACCAACTATTTACATAGCATTTATATTGTATTAGGCATTACAAGTAACCTACAGATGATTTAAAGCATACTGAGAATGTGGGTAGGTTATATGCAAATACTACACCATTTTACAGAAGAGACTTGAACATCTATGGGTTCTGGTATCTGTGGGGATGCTGGAACCAATCCCTCAGGGACACTGTACTTTCAACATTAATTAAAAGACATGTGATTTGACAATACACCACAAGAGGGAGCTCCTATGTTGTTTATAAATTTAGAAGCCCATTGTCAATAAAATCAAGGATCAGAACTGTACTTAATAGACAAACCAGTGGCCAGTCCTGCCCACGAATATTGACAGGGCCTGCGGCAAAAGGACCAAGGAAAATCCACATACCATATGTCAAAACATATAGAAGTTCAATACCAAGCTCAGCCTAACTCAATCCCACTCAAAGCCCCTGAGCCTGCTGCTCCCCAGGCATTTGCCCTAAAGATCTAGAGGCTAAAGGCATTTCTTTTTCCCTGGGCCTGTCCTGCTGTCAGGGACAGGGCAGGATGGATGCTACAGTGGGAGGTGGAATTCCCTCCCCCAGCCACACGCTTTGACAGGATTTCCAGGAGGTGCCTCAAAGGCATAGAGCCCAGGGGAGGAATGAAGCAGCTTAGTTTTCCAGGAACCCAGTCTTGCCAGTCACCTGCATCAGGTACCCCAAAGTTGCTAACTTTAAACAAAAGCAGCCTCTCTTCCTCCCTTCCCAGGGAGTGGCTGTAATTTTCTTCCCCTGGCCCCACTCCCATCTCCCACCTAGCCACCGCCCTGAGGAAGGAGAAAGAGCTGCTGCTTTTGTTTAAACTTGACCATCCCTAAATCTAAATAGCACCTTCTAGTCCGGGAAGTTTAGCTCACTCCTACATCCCTTTCCCATAACTTTTGTTCACTAATCCTGTTGCAGATCTTTCAAAAACCTTTCCTACAAAGCTTGAAAAAGAAAGCAAAGTATCTTTGAGTCTCAGTGTTTGTGATATGTAGGTCCCTGTAAGCACAGGGCTCAGAGCAGGGTCCCTCTTGCTGGGGCCTAAGGGCAACTGGTGGCAAAAGATCAGAGAAAGAAGCAAAAAAACCTATTCTTCCTGCAGGTAAAAAGAGACACTCTGAAGTCCAAATTTATATTCTTTGCCCATAATAGGAGATGAACCAGGTGGCAGCAGGGACTTCCCAGGCTGCTTTGACTCATAAAGACAGAAAGGGTGGGGTGGAAAGAGACTGCACAAAGAATCTCACGGACAATCTATCTTCTGCACTCTTTGTAGGAGCTGAAAAGTCAAGAGCCTTTGTCCGAACAGCCAACCTGCCTGGAATGGCAGCCGGGTCACTCACCTCCTGTGGGAACCTAACTGAGTCAGGAAAGTGATTTTCAAAAGGAGCTACCACAAGCATCTATAAGAAGATAAAAAAGGGCAGCATAATATTATTAAATTTAAGATTAGGGCACTGACCACAAAAATATTTTCATGGAGCAGATGAAAACTGAACACGTATTTCATCATGAAATGAAGCAATTATTTATATGAAGGAAGACAGCAAAGCAGAAATAAAACAACAGAAACAAAACAGTGAGAGAAGGAAAGAGGAGATGAAAGATGTGCCGGCAGAGAGAAGTAAAAGGAAAAAATTAAAACCCCATAGAAATGAAGATACAATTGAAAGGGACATAAGGGTGAACAGACTGAGAAAACACAGTAACAGGGATATAGAATAGAAATGAGAAAAGTGAGCAAAATGAATGAAGTGGCATTGGTACCCAACCAACAACATAGTAGTGAGGAGCTCCTTGGGTTTTATTTTTGCAACATCTATCCCAGATTTGGAGCTAAATAAGCCAGTAACTTAGAAATGCCGAAGGGTGCAGATAGGGGGAAAAAGCCACAAGAAAACCCTAATCATTCCAGCCAGAAGATCAACAAAGGAGCAGGCTGGCTAAGCAGGAAAATTTAGACAATAACCACTTAACTCTAGTCAATTCCCACAGAAAAAAATAAACTGTGGTCTCACCCAGCAATATATAAACAGAGGCTGTAACAAGGTGCCTCAATCTCCCCTCTAGGGTATGTTAGAGATGGCTGAGGAGGGATCTGGGACTTCCATCCCCACCAAAAGGCCACCCCTGGTGCCAGAGGAGTCTGCATTGGTAGCCTGCATTTCCATCACCATGCAGTACTCGTCTTCCTCTCTGCTAGTGTTGGACAGAGGAAGCCTGGTGAAGAGTCAGAACTTTCACCATAGTCCAGTGGGAATTAAGGCATACCTCTCCTGGCTGGTGTCAGTAGAGAAGGCCTGGAGAACAGTAGCAAGTCACTCCTTCCCCTCCCAGACAGTGCAATATCAGCGGAGTCCAGTGGAGATACAGAACTGCCAACATCACCCAACAATAACAAGGAGTCTGTCTTACTATTAGGTGTCAATCGAGGCCAGGAGGAAAACTAGGACTTGTACCCCACCTAGCAATAACAGGGCATCACCCACCCCACCTCAAACTCATCGGTGTCATAAGAGAAAGCAGCTAAAACAGAAGGTTTAAATAAGACTCAGAGTCTAATAATACCAAGGTTATACCTTATGAACTATAATACCTAGAACAAACACTCATAAAACTAAACAAAGAAATATACTCAAAACACTATAGAGAAATCAAAACAAAATTGTAGAAAATGTTCAATGTAACCCACAGGAAGGCAGGAAGAACAAAATAGAGAAATGAAAAACAGAAAGAACAGGCTGGGCATGGGGGCTTTCACCTAATCCTAACACTCTGGGAGGCTGAGGCAGGTGGATCATTTGAGCTCAGGAGTTTGAGACCAGCCTGAGCAAGAGATAGACCGTGTCTCTACTAAAAATAGAAAGAAATTAGCTGGACAACTAAAAATATATAGAAAAAATGATCCAGGCATGGTGGCGCATGGCTATAGTCCCAGCTACTGGGGAGGCTGCAACAGGAGGATTGCTTGAGCCCAGGAGTTTGAGGTTGCTGTGAGC